ATGAATAGGATAAGCTTTTCGGGGCCTCCAATACAACGCTCTCTGCCTCGAATTCCCTATATTCACAGCAGCGCGAGTGACTGGGATGACCCATTAAGCTACGTGCCTCGTTCAATGTTTTTCTGGTGAACCTACTATAGCGACCGAAAACACTATAGAAGACGAACATGACGTTGGCTAGGAGCACTGTAGCACATGTTTATTCCAACAGTTTTTTTAGAAATTACGAGTATTTTTTAATACATAAATTTTTTGAAGTTTTTGAACATTATTTTATTTTTTTAAAACAATTGGTAACCTGATCATTTCTTTTGAAATCTGAACTTTTTAAAAAAATGATCTTTTTTTCAAACAGTAAAAATATTTCCTTTTCTCGAAAATCCAAAAGCCATTTTGAAAACTTAAATATTTTGGGAAACACGAACATTTTTTCAAATTTTTAACATCTTTTAAATTCCCGGATATTTTTCTAAAGTCATTTTTTAATTTGTGAACAATTTGAAAATAAATCATTTTAAAAAATGCAAACATATTTTGAAATTTTATACACCCTCCGATCCATATTACCTGTCACAACTTTAGTACAATTGTAGCACAAAGTTGTAATAAATCTGCAGCAAGTAACATGGATTGGAGGGAGTACATTTTATAATTTTGAATTATTTTTGAAAAAACACGAATAATTTTTGAAACATTATTTCTTAAAAAAATGAGTTTTTTGGAAAAAGAAAATCTAAAAAATAAACAGAAAAGAAAAGGAAGAAAGACAAAACACCCGGAAATCAAGTAAAGAAAATGCGCAGCAAAAATGGTTCGGAACTTTCTAGAAGGTTCTCAACACCGGTCAGTGGGAGCTCCTAACTGCCGCTCTTTGCAGCAGATCATCGACCGCACGCACAGGCGGATATCCCTACTGGCCCGGCCCAAGCTAGCGACCAAGTGAGCCTGTAGACCTAAAAAAAACTCGCGTTAGCAAGGGATCCAACCCAGGTTCTATCTTTGCGGAAGACGTGCTATTACCAGTTATGCTAGTGTGCGTTTCTGAATATTGTACTGCACGAATAGTGAAATCGTTAAGAAACAAAACCAGTGAGATCCGAAAAAAACAGGTCACGAAATTCCATAAAAACCAATGTAGTAACTCATGTTATGTTTCTAAAACGGTAGCCAGGTGTATATCAACTATAATAGGCGAAAACTTAAAAAAAATCAAACATGATTTTAAAAAAATGAAAAACTTTTTGAAATGCAAACATTATTTTGGGAAAATAAAAAATAGAAACAAAATAGGAACAAAAATGAATACAAGAGCATTTTTCTAAATTATGAACTATTTTTTGTAAACATAAAACATATTTTGAAAAATAAGAACCAAAATTGAAGAAGTGAACATTTTTCAAAATTAAAACTACTTTACAAGGCTCAATGATTTTTTAATTTGCGCATTAATTTTGAAAACATAAACATTTTCCGAATTTGTCAACAAATTTTGAAACATGTTGCATTTTTGGAATATGAGAAGAAATTTGGGAGACAGGAATTTTTTCAAATCCTGAAACATTTTTTAATTTCAGAACAAGAACTAAACATGAAATCATTTTTTGAATTTGTGAACAAATTTTAAAACATGAATATATTTTAACATGTGAACAAATTTTGAAAAGAAAATATTTATTAAATCTGCAGCGAGAATTTAAAACAGGAACTTTATTTGAATTTCCTAAACATTTTCCATTTTTGAACATAATTAAAATATGATTTGTTTTTGAAATTTTGAACAAATTTTGGAAATGGGATTTTTTTTGAAAATAAATATTGTTTGGTTTGCAAACAAAATTTAAAATGGTGAATTTTCAAACTTCTTTGTATACATAAATTTTTTAATTTGTGATAAAAAATAAAAAATGACGACCATATTTAGAATTTTTAGGACAAATTTTGAAATGGAGAAGAATTGTGAAAATCCCCAACAAATTTGAAATGCGATTTTTTTTTAATACGTGGACAATTTTTTTAAAACAAGAACACCTTTTGAATTTGTGAACAAGTTTTGAAAACATGAATATTTTTTGAAATCCCAGTCATTATTTGACAATTTCTGATAACTTTGAATTGAAATATTCTGAACAAGTTTAGAAAAACTCTCCAAACAAGTTTTGAAAAAAGGAATATTTTTTGAAATTCCTGAACATTTCTTAGAAGTGCAAAACATTTTTCGAATTTGTGACTTTTTTAAAGCACGATCATTTTAAAAAAAATATTGAGCATGTTTTAAAAGCACAAACATTTTTTTGATGTTTCCAATTTTTTTTGAAAACATGAAATCTTGAAAAAAAGAAAATTAAACTTGAAAAAGAAACGTAAAAAGAAAAAAAACAGAAGAACGAAACATAAAAACCTAAAACCTAAAGGAAACAGAAAAACCGGTTCGTGGAACCTTCTAGAAGGTTTCCAAAACCAGAAAAACCGGCTGAGAAATGTAGAAGGTTCCCAAAACCGGATACGTTCATCAACACGTTAATGGGCCAGCCATGGTAATGGCTCCATCGCCAGGTCAGGAATCTTTCGGACTGTTCCCAAAACCTGGATCGTAGAACGCTAATCTGTGCGTCAAGGCAACTACTTGACGCGCGCACGCATCAAATAGGAAATCCGTCCCCTAAAAAAGAATCAAATAGGAAATCCGAAGCTTTATGCTGATGTTTCAAAGAAAAGTGTGACCCTGAGAAAAAGGAGCGGCCGAAAAATTTGGCCGAGCCCAATCGAGATCTCAACGTGCAAATAGAGGCGTAGCTTTCTCCTCTTCACTTTCTACAAAAAAATCTATTTACTGGTGAACATGCCAGTCGATGTCACAATCCACAGTCTTACAAAATGAGGCCTATAAATACTCCACCCTAACGAGACGACATACTCAACCTCGCCACTTCATCAGCAAGCAGAACCACAAGCAGAGAAACAGTCCCACAAAATTGATAGCATTACAGTCATGGCCAAGGCACAGTCCATGGCGGCGCTGCTCGCCGTGGTGCTCGTCCTGGGCGCGTCCGCGGACGTCGCGCACGGCGTCTGCAACATCTCCAGCGGCGGGATCCGCGCGTGCCAGCCGGCGGCGGCCATCCGCAACCCGACGGACGCGCCGTCCGCCGACTGCTGCGCGGCGCTGGCGGGGGCCGACCTGCCGTGCCTCTGCCGGTACAAGAACGTCGGCGCCATGTGGGTGAGGTTCTACAAGATCGACGTGAAGCGCGCCATGGCGCTGCCGCGCAAGTGCGGCCTCGCCATGCCCGCCAACTGCTGATGGATGCGTCACGAAATATATGATGGACTGAAATATCTATATACCTAGAATAAATGAAGCACGTGAAAGACCGTTTCGTGCTTGCTTTGGTGTGTACTATGTACTGTCAGGGCCGGTCCTGACTTTTCAGAGGCCCGGGGCAAACTTAAAAAGTGGGTCTAATATAGTGAAAAATATAAATTACATCGATATAAAGCACAATCGGCGCAAAAAAAGAAGATACAAAGCATAACGTTTTTATGCCCTAAAGAACTCTTTTTTTATTATTACTAAAAATATGTATACCGGATCTAACTTATTTGCTATCATTTTCTTTCTTCTTTCTCAAAATCATGTTTTTAGCCAACATTTTATAAGAAAGGAGTGGAAATACCTGAATTTGTCAGTGGAAAAATAGAAGAAATCCAGCTACCCAATCCCAAGCATATCGGATCTTCCTAGGGTCCACATATCCTCAAATGAGCAACATGTACATAAATAGAAGATCAGTCTGGGAATCGCTAGAAAACAAAGAAAAACAGTACAAAGATCAAGCGGAAAAGGACTATGCAATCACAAGATCTTTGTAGGCCTTTGACCCAAGAAATTGTCATGTTGCAACTTGCAAAGTGAATGAGCTTATGAAGTGTTGCGCTCTGCCTGTGGCCGTCCGCTAGATGAGAATACTTATATGCAAATCCATAGGGGAGTGAGATGGAGAAATTGAAAGTGTATCAAAGAAATCAACTTTAGCGACAGTATCCATTAATTTGCTAGGCATGCTGCATGCTTCGGGAATAGGAGCGGAACGGGGAACGAGGAGACAGGAAGAAGAAACGACGGTGGCTAGTGTTAGGAAATGAATCGATTGAATCAAAACTGGGATGGTGTCTTTCACAATTCACGTAACCTACTGGGATGGTGGCTGGAGTAGTTTTTTTTCTAGCAGAACGTAACCTAGCTGATTGGGCTACATGCTTTAAGGCCCATTTTGTCGGCTGTGTAGCATATGTGCACAGGGTTGGGCCCCCCATCGGGCTGGGCCCTAGGGCGTTGCCCTTCTTGCCCCTACCCAGGGCCGGCTCTGTGTACTGTGCTTCATGAGCTGCATGGATACGAATCACGGTTGTGCATGGAAAAATTAATCAATGAAGAACTAAGTTGTGGAATGTTAGTTGGATCGCTACTTTATAGTGAAGAAGTTTTTTTTGACTCACTTAGTTTACAAAGATAGTACAACTGTAGTACAATACACGTGTAAGAGCATCTCCCCTCCCCCCACCATATTTTCAAGCGAACAATCCGGATGTCATCGCGCTCTGTCGTGGCACCGCTTTTAGATGAAATTAGAGAGCTATCTCTTCAGTTTAATTCATTTGTAATTCAACACATTTGTAGATTGGCCAATGTACCGACGCACTTGTGTGCTAAGTTAGATTGCACGCTAAGTGTCTTTGAGAGTTGGATCAATGAGACTCCGAGCTTCTGGTCGGTACCCTTTTGGCAGATGCAACAGGAATACATTAGCTGAATAAACCTCTCAAGTTTCCCACAAAAAAAACTAAAAAAACTGGATACTATCCGGGACAGATGTGCACATGGTCCATGCTACTGGGCCAGCCCATTGCAGTTATACCCAAGCGACCCAGTAGCGAGTGATTTCTTCAGTGTGGTACTGTTTCTAGCCTTTTTTTCGTTCGGCTTTACTGAAAATAAAAACTTACTTATTCAAAATTTGTTTTTTTTAATTTAAGAATACTTAGAAAATCCAAACCATTTTTTAAAAAATATTCAAGAATTTTTAAAACATGAACTTTTTTAAATACAAGCATTTCTAAAATAATTGACCTTGTTTTAGAAATGTGATCACTTTTTAGTACAAACTTTTTTTTAAAAATCTGAACATTTTTTTGTTTTTTGGGGAAAAAGAAAAACAACATAAAGCAAAAAAGACTGAAACTTTCGAGATGGTTACAAAACTGATAAAAGAACTATAGAACTTTCTAGAAGGTTCTAAATACCGGAATCCTTTAGTTTGTACTCTAGCTTGAATGGGTCGGCCTATATGAGCACTCCCCTCGCGCCTTCTTTGCAAAAGGCCGACACGGTAAGCGTTAAATTTGATTTGCCCATAATATTGTTCGGAGAAAAAACCCGCATTCCAACACAAAACCCAGATCACATATTTGTCTAGATCGTCCGGGCCTCCCTAATCATGGGACGTCCGGAACATATCCCAAAAGTATGCCACATCAGCTCAAATCCCACCCAAACTCACATGTTAGCTCAATTTCCCCACCTCCCTCTCTCATCACACAGACCTTCCTACGCCCTCGCAACCCATTTGGCCACCGAGCTAGCCCCGGTATCTCCGCTGAGCCGCTGCAGCGAGCAACAGAGGTTGCCTTCCCGCCTAGATTTGGAGGTCAGCGGGGAGACCAATTGGGCGTCCATGTGCGTGGGTATTCTGCCCATCGAACTGCCACCAACGTTCCACTCAGGGCCGCACCTGCGACCAACATGAAACCACATGCTCATCCTCCTCTCTGTCGTTGAGCACATGCCCTTGTTCCATCTTTAGTTATAAGCTCGAAGATAGGATTCCTTACGATAGTTTGAGATAACATGGGAGTAATAGATGAATGTGTCAGTAGATGTGCTTGAGTAGAGTAGTGACAAGCTGTTGTAAGATTATGTGGGATCATTACCATTATTCATTAATAAACTGAAAGCTGGAACCTTTAGTGCTGGGATGAAGTGCAAGTTGAGGGGTGGTTGTAAGTAAGCTGGCACCTAGGTTAGATCGAGACGAACAATAGGCTTATGTCTGCCAAACTATCCCCTAGGAGTTTCTTGGTGATGCGATACTAATGAGACATCTATTTAATATTCGTAATACACAATAGAGTTATTTATACTAATCTGAGATTGATGCCATGTTGCTTCTTTTACCTTCATTTTTTCTAGCCTCTTCGGTATTTAGCATTGCCCACTCTCACTTTGAGATAGGCGCATACTTCGCTAATACATCCAAACACCATGGGAGGGCTACCTCTTTCCATGCGTCAGCCCACAATTTATCTTTCTCAAAGGACTCATCATACTTACATATGGCATTTCTATTTCATTGTTAGATATATTGCAAAGCAAAAAAAATTCATCATTACATGATTAGATATGTTATTCCTCGTTATCATTTTGCTTTGTATATCATACAGAGATAACATCATATTATTGTTGCAAGGCCGCCATTATTCATTGTCTCATACTCCCTCTGTCTCAAAATAAGTGTCTCAACCTTATTACAACTTTGTACTAAAGTTAGTACAAAGTTGAGACACTTATTTTGGGACGGAGGGAGTATATGTTATGCTACATCATTGCACATCCTCATACACTGTTAGAAGCGTTCATTAGAGTTTCTACATAATGTTTATCATTTGTTCAGTTGACTTGTAAGTAAATTTAAAGTGTGTTATATATCATTCTAGAGTGTTGCTCCTACCTTGAGAGATCAAATAAAAGATGCACCATGAAGGTGCCAAAAAAAAGGAATGAGAGAGGGAGCAACACTAGTATCCTTTTTAGTATACACTTGTGATTCAAAGTAGTAACTGGCCATAGCAAATATCATAGGGTGCTTGATTGTAGCACTACTGCATTTCATATACAGTCTTCATGTACTTCATGTTTCATATACTAGTTGATTTTAGGTTATAGAACTTGGCTTGTATATTCCAATGGTGAGCTTCCTCAAAAGCTCTATATCGTTGTGGGCAAGCAAGTTAGATGCACACTCCACTAGTCCATTATGATAACTTTCATACACTTATAGCTATAGTTTATTTGTTGCATGACAATCCCTACCCCTTGAATTGACATCGATTATAAGGCCTTTCTTTGCCGAATGATCAAGCCTTGTTGATTCGAGACTTTCTTATACCTTTCTGAATTCTCATAAACCCTCGTTATTATTAGCTATTCCATTTGAAAAGTGATGTGGCTAGACTCGGGCTCAAGCATTGCATGAATGTTATGTGCTGCATTGGTATTGCATGGTCAAAGTAACTTGGTTTGCTTTGGATGGTTTATGATAAGATTGCCATCATACGGTAAAGACCAAGTAATGCTATGTTTCCAATATAATTTGACATTCTTTCTTAACGCGTGGTAGTGAGAACATTGATTGAAAGCACCGAATCATTGAAAGCGAGGGAATGTTTATTTGCATGTTTTGATGCTACTTGCTTGTTATCAATTATAAACTATTACATATCATCATTATTCTTTGAGTCACACTGACGGTGTCCTGGACTAGGGGGTACTCACCACGTCGTCTCCCGATCTGTTAGATTAGGCCGAGGACCCCCATGGCCATATACTCATGGGCCAGTTCAGACAACTGCCGCATACATGGAAGATTCCACAAGACTTGGTGATCAAGACAAGGACTCCTCCCCACCGGCGTATTCGGCTATGACTCTTGTTATCCTAGGCCTCTGGTGCATTATATAAACCGAGGCCAGGCTAGTCGATAGATCATATACAACAACAATCATACCATAGACTAGCTTCTAGGGTTTAGCCTCTCTGATCTTGTGGTAGATCTACTCTTGTACTACCCATATCATCAATATTAATCAAGTGGGACGTAGGGTTTTACCTCCAATAAGAGGGCCCGAACCTGGGTAAAACATTATGTCCCCTGCCTCCTGTTACCTTCCGGTCTAGACGCACAGTTCAGGATCCCCTACCCGAGATCCGCCGGTTTTGACACCGAAATTGGTGCTTTCATTGAGAGTTCCGCTGTGTGTTCGGCAAAAGGTTGATGGCTCGCCTGCAAATCAACTGCGACTTCGGCATCTTCGTCACCAGCTCGACTGGTCACCTTGGTTTGACCAAGGACTGCGCCCTACCTCCGATCGTCATGTTCGGATGAGGGCCTTTATAAACATTAACTCCGATCTCTATCAAGATCATGGAGGAATCATCCAGGGAGCCCGAGGACTCAATGTCAACAT